GAAACTCTTCGCAAGATTTCGGCACAGCCCTCAGCCCTGTGCCCCACAGCCAGGGAAGAGGTGCCTCAGGTGTTTGTGGAACTTGGTGCCAGCAGCCAGGGAAGGGGGTCTGGTGACTGCCCAAGGCCACAAGCAAGGCCACAGCAGGGCTCTGATGGGCCAAGCTCCTGGGGTCCAGCTGCCACCGTCTCCCTGCTGCCACCCTGCTCTGTGCTCTAATGGCGGCCCCATGGTCAGCATGAGGAAAAGGAGCTCCCAGGGCCACTTGTCCTGTCCCGCCCTCTGCCCTGGCCGTGTCATATTGAGGACAGGCCCCCAGGCCCTCACCGGGTGCAGGTGGGCGAGCAGAGAGGGCAGAGCTCTCCGCCAGGCCTCCCCAGCCCAAGGCCAAGCGGGCACCATCTGCGTTTCCCGTGCTGTTCCGGTTGACACAGGCCCAATGCACTAGGCGTTACAACCAACTCAAATTGCAGCGGCTGAGGGAAAAACAGGATATTCAAGCCCAAAGACTCTTCTGTTCCGCCAGCTGGACTCAAATTAACGTGGGTGGAAGGGTTTTCCCTGAGGGCCTGAATGACCAGTTCTTGTCCTTGCTAAGCCTGGGCAAGTCACCTTCCTCTCTGAACCTCACTTTCCTCAACTGGAAAATGGGGCTCTCCAAACCTGCCTCACAGAGTGGCATGAGGACGGAGGGGACAATGTTCCTACAGTGCCAAGCCTAGTGTCAGACGCAGAGCAGCTGCCAGGCATCTGTCTGCACCTCCTGGGTCCTGGGCCTTGGGGGCGGGAGAAGAAGGTGACTCGCTGCTGCTCCCAGGAGGCCACATGCTGGAACAGCCGTCCCCACTGCGGGCAGAGGCACAGGTCTCAGCTCTGCCCTTTTCTGTCTGCAGGGCCTTGAGCAGCAAGTCGTCCTCCCCTTCTCAACCTCACCCTTCTCATCTGAAAAATGGGGGCAGTAACACCCCCTGTAAGGTTGCTGAGGAAATGAAACCTTACAAAATAGGAAAAGCACCTGGTGCATAGTAGCTGCCAACTAAACGGCCACTGTCATTGTCAACAGTCTGCGGGAGGCACTGTAAAGTGCTGAGCACATGAGCTGCAGGGTTATGAGGGTCGCGTCTAGGCTGAGCTGAGGCTCTGGGTCTTGGGCTGGGGGTCAGAGCTCACGGCTGAAAGGCACCTGGGAGTCACCTGGTCCAGTCGTTCCCACCTGGCTGGCCACTCCTGGGCAACCTGGGTGCTCCAGCCCAGAGCTTCCAACTCAAGTTATCCAGGGCACTCGGGCATCTGTGTTTAAACAAGCTTCCTAGGTCATTTTGTTTAATCTTTTTTTTTAAAGTCTATTGTCCAGAGTAGAAAATTCCAGCGAAACTAAAAACTACACAATGAAAGGAGGAAAATAAGTGGGGTTCGAGGTCTCCAGGCAGCCTGTGTGAGTCCTCCCTCTCGGGCCGCAGCTCTCAGACTTCCCAGCAAGAGGATGGACTGACGGGCGCTCCCACCTGGACATCTGCGATGCGTCAAGGGTGGCTGGGTGACCATGAGCCGCCATCAGGAAGGAGGAGGCCACTGTGAATCCACAAATGCCCAAGAAGGACAGTCGTGGGTTTGGGAGGCAGGAATCCGGCTCACACTGGTTTAGGTGGGAGAAAAAAAGGAAGGAGCGGGCTGGGGGGTGGATTTTATTTGAACTGAAAACTCCAGGGGTGTATGAGGCTCCAGACATTGCTGGATCCAGTTACTCACATGATGTATGTTTTCTCATTTCCTTAGTATTGACTCCATTCTTCTGTGGATGTTGCCAGGTGATTATATCTAAAGTCTTTATGGACAAAGACATACCCAGGCAATCTTCGGAGATCCAAATCCAGCTTTGGGTAAAGAGCACCTTCATGGGGAACAGTGGGAAGTTCTCCGTGTCACAGGCGGGGAAATGTGTCTGCTTTCTTCACGAGTCTGGCTTGTGCTGTCTTGGTCTTGCATGTATGTGATATGCGTGTGTATGTGAACATGCACATACACATAGGTGTAAGTACATACAAGGGCTGTCCAAAAAGTATCCAGCCACGCGCTATGTTCTCGGTGTATTAACAATGGCCGGATACTTTCCGGACAGCGCTCATGTATGCTCGTCCAAGAGTTCCACACATGCTATTGGGGGGCAGGGGACCCTTAGGAAGAAGGGGGTGTTGCTTCTCCCCGCTTTGGTAGAATTAGCCTAGTATAGGCCAGACTTGGAGGTCCCCCAGAGCTTCTGCAGAATGGGGTCCTTGACAGGGTGTGGCAAAGTTCCACCGTCACTGAGCTGGGGCCGGCGAGGCTGCAGAGGAATGGGTGACCCCGAGAAGGTCCTTCGAGCCCCCTGTGCCACTCCCTCAGGCCCGCCCCCAAGGGACAAAAGCTTCTCGTTTATGTCATATCAGAGCTGTGAGAGGTGGCTGACGCCAGTGGGAGAAGGTGCCTTTGTCCTGGGTGTGATCTATGCTAGTGACAGCGCCCGGCATGAGACGCTGCAGCCCCGTGAGGGCGAATCGGGGTCTTGGGAGGTGGAGGTGGCGAGAAAAGGAAAGGGGCAGGCAGCTGAAGGCAAGATCTCCACGCGGGACGGCTGGACTCAGGTAGAGAGGGAAGCCACGAGGAAGGGCCGTGAATGTTGCAGCAATAGTCTTTCAACAACAGACCTGCAGAAATTCAGAATCACGGCTCACGGTCAAGCAAGCACCACGGGGTCCTCGCAGTGACCTCGTCCAATTTCTGCCCATCTCTGGTGGGGGGTTCTCACCACCTTCCTGGACAGTGGCTGGCTCTAATAGGAGGCCCCAGAGAGAGACTTCGAGCATTCTAGGGATGGGTCAGCATCTTGCTGACCCACGTGGGAGGAAAGCCCCAGAGCGCAGAGACTGCCCTCTGCTCAGGGCAGAAAACAGATCAAAAAACCAAACTGCGATCAAGCTGTGAAAGATGCCAGCAAGGAGCTGAGGCTGGGGATGATGGGGGGGTCACCCTAGCAGGCAATCAGGAAGGGCGTTCTGGGAAGGTGACATCGAGAGCCAGAGACAGCTGGGAGGAGAGTTCTGGGCAGAGAACAGCCTGTGCAAAGGCCCAACATAGGAAAGCAATTGGCATCTTTCTGGAACACAGGGAAGCTGGGGGTCAGAGGCAGGGGGAGGCAGGAGAGGAGTTTGGGGAGGCAGCGGGCAGATGACACAGGCACCCGTGGGCCATGGGTCTAAGCCCCCGCTGGCTGCTGTGTCGAGAGCGCAGCGGATGGGGATGAGCGCGCAGAAGGAGGCCAGGACAAGGCTGGTGGAGCACAGCTCCTGGCGTGGGCTGTGCAGCCTCGGGCAAGGGGCTCGACCTTCTGGACTGCACCATGGCCCACTCGTGGAGGTAATATTGAGGCAGTTTTGTTCACTCTCAGGAAGAACTTCCTACCAACTAGTCAGAACAAGCAGGCTTGGGAGGTAGTGAGCTCCCTGTCATGGCAAACATTCCCACTGAACCTAGCTCTGCTCATGACAGATGTTGCAGAGGACACCAGATACCGTAGAATGACCTTTCGCATCATAGACTCTGATTCCCTGTGAGCCACAATTCCAGCTCCACCTCCGCCCCTCTCTTGCTGGGTAACCTCAGTCTGGGTGGCTTCCCCTCCTTGAGCCTCAGTTTCCCAATGATGACAGAATTAGACTGGATGATCACTAGGTGATCGCTATGGGTCCTCCCACCAGAACATTCACCAATTCGTCCTTTCTCAGTCTTCTCCCCAACTCCCACCACAGGGACCACCCCCTCGGCAGCTGCAAGCTCCATGAGGACCTGCTCTTAGTCTTGGCAGAAAGTCCTCTCCATTCCCACCCATTCCCGTTCAAGCATCCTGGGTGACCTTTGCGTTGACAGTCTCTCTGCTCATTCTGGACAGGGGTTATTTTCTTTGGAGCCTCCTTGGATGGTCCCGGAACCAGGGCTCGCTTCCGTGAGCAGCCTCCCATCCCGTCCTGCTCCTTCTGAACAGGGGTTATTTTCTTTGGAGCCTCCTTGGATGGTCCCGGAACCAGGGCTCGCTTCCGTGGGCAGCCTCCCATCCCGTCGCCACCGTATAAGGGCCACCAGCTCTCAGCAGAATCCCAGCAGGCTGTGCAGGGGGCAAGGATTCCGTGAGCACCCTCCTCCAAACCCGTGAGTGGTGGCTTCCCCACCGATGGCACCCCCCATGGTGGTCTTCAGAAGGCATTGGGGGCAAGAGGCAGAGGAATGAAGTTGCTTGGATTAGCTAACATTCTGAATAGAGCAAATTTAGATACACGGATTAGTATGGTAAGGGAAGTGTCCGACAGATGAGCAGTGCAGGGTTTTGAGTTGGTGTCCATTGGTTTGCTCCTACGTTTAGTCAACAAATATTTATTTGTTCACTGTACTAGGTACAGGCTTTTTATTGGGGTTTGAGGCTTCAACAGTGAAATTAGTCATAGTCCTTCCCCTACGGCATTCCCAGCCCGGGAAGAAAGCAGACACATACATTATCAGGGAGTCGGTGCCTGGGACCCTGATCAGAGAATAAAGGCAGCAAGGCAGTGGGGTGGAGCCCCCCAGCCTAGACCCTGAGAAGGGGCCCAGAGTAGGCTTCACAGAGGGTATGATGTCTTCCTGAAGCTGGAGACTTGGCAGGAATTGGCTTAGGTGAAGAAGGGAAGAAGAAGAAAGATATTTCAGGCAGAGAAGACAGCACGTGCAAAGGACCTCCGTGTAAAGGGCATGGGCTTGGAGTCCGAGTCTGACTCTTCTAATCCCAGCCCCTCCACTCACCCGCTGTGTGTTTCTGGGCAAGTTGCTACAGCTTTCTGACCTTGGCTGCCCATCTATAACAGGAGACAACCACATCCATCTTAAAGGAATGTTAAGTGTAAGAGTGATAGGTGCTCACTGAAGACCCCAATTCCCCCTGGGCAATTCTCACTCCTGTTCCTCCCATGGCTGTCTAGGTATCAAGACAAAAGATGCTTCAGCTTTGGAAACTTGTTCTTTTGTGCGGCCTGCTCACTGGGACCTCGGAGGCTCTTCTCGAGAATCTTGGCAGTGGCCTGCATGATGTTGTGGACGAGGTGAAAACTGTTGTTAGCAATGACGTACATGATGTTGTGGACAAGCTGAAACCTGTCGTTGACAAAGGACTTGAGACAGTTGACAATACTCTCGAAGGTGAGTCAACAAGGGTGATGATCACCGTGCCTGCATTACCAGAGGCTGCCACCAGGGGCTGCTCTTTATGTGTGGGTTACTGAGAAAGGTGGCTATTCAATTCCTGGCTCACTCATTTATTTTTCTAGAAACAAGCAATGCCACAATGAGTATCCCTCTACATATTATATCCTGATAAACTTTTACCAATATTTACATAAGATAAATTCCTAAAAGTGGGATTTCAAAAGTTCAAAAACTATGCTGTTGACAAATAATCCCCTACGTTAACACTTTCTCCAGCACCCCATGAGAGAGCCTTTTGTTCTCACCTCCTTGCCACACTGGACAACTTTGAGTGCTTTGCCAGTCTTACAGATGAAAGACCGCAACTTATTTCACTTTAAATTTCTCTGATTGTGAAAGAGCTCTCTTATGTTTTCATATACTTACTATCTATTTCCATATTTTAACTTAAAGATTTTTGTCCTTGTTCTTAGCATATTCTTCTGTTGGGTTGTTTAATATTCTCTTACTGACTTGTGTTTCAATTTCATTGAAAATTGAGGAAATTAGCCCTACCTAGTCTATGTATCTGGAAACTACCTATCTTTATATTTAATCATATCTCCTTTTTATGGTGACTTGTTAAGAGAACTTGACTTTGTTTTCATTTTCTGGAAACATTAGCCGCCCACTGAAAACAGTTTTTAATAGGAGAAGGTGACTTCTGCAGATGATCATCTTCTAAACCTTGCCAGGGCTTAGGCAGCTTTCAAAGATGCAGAAAAGACCTACTCTCTAATTTCACGGCTGAGAAAACTGAGGCCCAGACACAGAAATATCTGGATCAAGGTCACCTAGTGACTAGATGTAGTTCTATCACCATTTTTTAAAAAATACTCATTCTCTGCATCATTGTAACTAGGTAGCTATTGTCCGTTGTAGAGCCAAGTGGCAGTCTTATGACACCTCTTTTCTTACACAGTACAGTCTTTTATTTTTCCTTGAGTTAGTCATTGCTTTGCTGTTTCTTACTTGAATTATTTTCTCCCCTTGATTCCTTAGTTCTTTTCATATTCACCATCCTACGTCTGCCGTGTCATTTGTTCTAGCTCGTCCACGTTCTTCAGGGACCTACCACAGGGGCACTCTGTCCTCCTGCTCCTGTGTAAAGTATTGCTCTCTGGGCCCGCTGCAGAGCTGTCATTCTGGGACTCTAATTTGCCACTTTCATGGGTTGGAGCCATTTATTTTTCCTTCTAGATTTTCCATTTCTTAGTTTATACTTTCATTTTATTTGACCTAGTTTTTCAAACTTGTATGAGCATCACGTTGAGGGCAGCAGGCCCCCAAGTCACTCCTAGACGTTGGCGTACAATCACGATCCATTGCTTGGCTTGACCGGCAATTGCGTCGACTGCTCTGTTGATAAATGATCAGTATATATTAGTATGGAGGCCGCATGGAAGAAACGAAGGTTCCCTAGCTATGTGACTAGACACATTTCTTAACCTTTTAAAATCTTTATTTCCTTATCTGTAAAGTGCAGATAAAAACAATATCTACCTCATTGAGTGGTTATAAAGATTCAATGAAATAACATAGGCAAACAGTCCTGTGTGGTACCCGGAGCCTAGTAGCTGCTTTGTAGGTGATGCATGACGGGAAATGGCGATTGCATTTGGCAGGCATCCTTCAGAAACTGAAAGCTGACTTGAAGGTGCTACAGGAATCCGAGGCGTGGAAGCTGGCCAAAAAGAAGGTCCAGGAAGCTGAGACATTGGTGGATAATGCCCTTTCTAATGTCCATCTAAGTGCAGGGAAGATCCTGGGGTGAGTTGGTGCTTCTGGGTAGAGATCTGTGCTGCAAGAAAAGGGACCACATATGTTTGGGGAGGTAAGTTTAAGATCAAAGACAGATGGGCACGCCTTGTTCCTCCCACACAGAGCTGAGATGGGCTGAGACCAGACCCACCAGAGCCTGGTAAGTTAGAGGCAGAGCTATAGGGCCAATCTGGGCTCCCACATTCTGTAATGTCACGATCGGGGTGAAAGTTATATTCATCCCCACCTCCACCTGTTTGCTGGTGCCTGCAGTGCCTTTTCCAAGGAATAAGACTTCTCTTCTCTGCATATAACTGGGAGTAAATGCCCAATTCCTCTTAGAGGCAGGGAAACGGGAATCTACCCCACCTAACCCCAGGTAGCGGCTGCACATGGAGCTTTGGAGTCAGAGAGTTCTGGGCCCGAGCCACTGTATGCCATGTGCAGAGAATCAAACCTCTGAACAGGGCTGCAAAGGCAAGGCTGGAGGGCCTCAAATGCCCAGCATGAGGCTGGCACAGGGACGTGCTCAGCAAACGGCTTTCGTGAGGAATGACAAGGGAGAATTGTGACTTTTACGCAGGTTGAAAATCGGTGACTTCTTCGTCCTGGATATCGAACCCGAACTGATTGTTGATGTCAAAGACGTCAACCTGAAGTTGCCCATCATCGCCGATGTCTCTGCAACCCTGTGAGTAGCATTAGAATCTGAGATTTGGGAGACACAGCGCAGCATGGCCGATGGATCCCCAACCTGGGAATCAGGCACCTCCCCACACTGCTGTGCGTGACCTGGGGACTCAGTTTCCCAATCTGCAAGTGAGAGGGACTTTCCAGGTTTAAAAGCCCAACCTTTAAAATGTTCTGACGAACTTTGGCCATAACCAAGTCTCTTTTAAAAGAATGCTCCATTGAATAGTTTTGAAGTCGTAACATTTATCTAATTATCAAGTTTGAAACATTAAGAAGATATGAACATTTCTCATTCTTTGGCAAAATTTCTTCCAGCATTATTTTGTCTCTCACAATTCTCTCTAAACAGCAGTGAGCATTATAGATAAATGCGTAGAGTAATGTGAGTATATAATAAAAAAAATTATGCAAAATATAATTTTAAAATATTTTAATTTTAAAAGAGTTAGGAAAATGATCATAAGTAAAAAAATACTTCTATAAATTACATGCATTAATGATGCATCCTCGATTAGCTGTGAGATCTTGGGATAATTACTTAACCTCTCTGTACCAAGGTTTCCTCATTCAGAAAATAGAGATAATAATAGCATTAGTATTTTTTCCTCATAGCATTGTTGTGATGATTCCATGGACTAATTCAAGTTAAATACTTTTTAGAAGTGCCTGCACATAATTTATGCTCAATACATGTTAACTAGTATTATTTTAATTATTAGTATAATGCCATATAAAAATTTCAAATGAACTAAACCCATGTGACCAAGACAAGAAGCCTCCAATATACATATAATCCCATAAAGAATGTGGACTGGCCGGGCGCGGTGGCTCACGCCTGTAATCCTAGCACTCTGGGAGGCCGAGGCGGGAGGATCGTTTGAGCTCAGGAGTTCGAGATCAGCCTGAGCAAGAGCGAGACCCCGTCTCTACTAAAAAAATAGAAAGAAATTAGCTGAACAACTAAAAATATATAGAAAAAATTAGCTGGGCATGGTGGCGCATGCCTGTAGTTCCAGCTACTCAGGAGACTGAGGCAGGAGGATCACTTGAGCCCAGGAGTTTGAGGTTGCTGTGAGCTAGGCTCATGCCACGGCACTCACTCTAGCCCAGGCAACAGAGTGAGACTCTGTCTCAAAAAAAAAAAAGAATGTGGACTATGTTGACATGACCTGGACCATGCCGACATTCTCCATAGACATTCTGGAAAATGGCTACGCAGGTAGAGGAGCCCAAGTGGGCCACGTGCAGGGCCTTCTAGACTCTGCTCGCTGTTCATCTTGCTCCCTGCAGGCCTTTCATTGGCCAGGTTGTCAACCTGACAGCCTCCTTGGACCTCCTGGCTGGAGTCAAAGTCAAAACTGATGCACAGACCCAATTGCCCACGGTGACCCTGGGAGAATGCACCAGCAACCCGACCAGCATCTCACTCTCCTTGCTGGACAGGTAAGGCCCGTCCATCTCAGCAGAGCTGGGATCTCAGGGGAGTTGAGGACCCCTAATTTCAGCCCTACCCTATACCTAAGAGGAGGCACAGTGTGGCGAAAGAGCTCAGGCTCTGGAGTCAGAGTGACCCTGGTTCAAGTATCAGCTCTGCCACTAACTTACAGTTTTATAACCAACTTCGTAATCTCTCTAAGCCTCAGTTTTCACATCTGTAGATTGCGGGTGATAATAATAGCTACTCAGAGGCTTCCGAGATGACCAGATGAGAACATACAGATGTTGAGCACACAGCCTGGCACGTGCTAGGCTGCCAGTGATGACAATCTGCACCCTGACTCTCCGTCCGCTGGCTCTCCCGCGACTGAAGCAGGAGCGCGGACCTCCCCACTGTAATCGTGACTTTGCCTACGTCGCTTTTCAGCTCTATCGGTTTTTGCTTCGTGCCTTTTCTTCTGTCATTAGGTGCATACACATCAGGGTCGTCAGGTCTTCTTAGAGAATTGACCCCTTTATCATTATGTTATGTCCCTCAATAATGAGAATAGTAATGAAATTGTATTACCTTCTTGCCTCCAGTTGGGAGGGAGGGGGACTAAACTCGAACCATGGGCTCCAATTTCAGATTGTCCCCAGCTGTCCTCCGCCCACTGGAAAATTCCCGAAATGAGATCTTGAACACTTAATCCTCTCCATTTAAATCATTGATCCCTGTTAATCCACAAAATCCACATCTTAAGCTGTGTGCTTGAAAGAGCAGGTTCGGCCCAGGCAAGCGGGTGGAGGGGGGAAGCGTGGCCCTGGCCCGTGGCAGGGAGAGGAGAAGTGGTCGGGAAGCTGGGAGCTGGGGCCAGCTGGCCTTGGCCGGGACCAGGGCTGGGTCCTGGGCTCTCAGCCCTGATGGTCAAGAGCAGAGGTCACCCCACCCTCCTCTCACCCAGGGTTCTGCTCACAGTTGCCCAAAGACCCCCTAAAACCACTGATGTTGGTTGGCAAGGCTGGGATGCGAATTCAGAGGCCGGAGTCCTACCGGACACTGCCTTGTCAAGCAGCCCTGTGCAATTCATCCTGCCGCACTGGGTCTGTCCACATCTGTAAACTGGCACCACTCCCTGGCCCCGGATGCTCTCGGGGCTTTTCTCCACACTTTGGGTTCAATCCCAAGTGTTCCCTATGGGCCCGCTTCTGGGCCCATCCTCCTCTCACTGCACTCTCCCCTCACTCACTCTGCCCACACACTCAGCCTTTGCTCTGGGCCTCAGATTCGCTCTTTCTTGCCTCAGGACCTTTGCACGGGCTGTTCTGGCTACTTAGAACACCTCTTCCTCACTTCACTGCAGCGTACCTTCTCATCCTCCTGGGCCTCAGCGAGGTTCCTCCTGTCCTCTCTTATAAGAGTCACTCTTGTCCTTTAGAGTGCTTGTCACAAGTCATCATTATATATTTAATGGTATGTTTACTTCATTCATTCTTTCAGCCAAAAATTTATTGAACCTCTGCTACGTGCCAGATGGGAATTGGTTGGTGCTGACAGACAAGGTCCTTATTCTCATGGGGCTTATCCTGAGAGAAAAGTAGTTGAGTCCATACATAGAGAACCGTCGGGCGAAATGCTGGGTCCTGCACATGGCATTACATTTCACAGAGTACTGTGGCAGCAAAGCCCTCTCTTAGACAAGCAGCAGGGAGGGCTGCCCCGAGGAGGTGGCAATTACGCTGAATTGAAGGTGGATGCTGCAGTGTTGGCAAGATGTTTGATGTTCGGGTCCCAGGTCAGGGGCTGTTCGTACTTTGTTTATCCTGGTGTCCCCAGGACCCAGCTGGGTTCCTGGCACGTGGTTGGTGCTCTGTAATATGGGTCGAATGAATGAATGAGTAAGATCTCAGGGTTGTGACTGGGGTGAGCAGCTGGTCAGATGTGGGATTCCAAGTGACGATCCATCTGGCAGGAGGCTGTCTGTAGTTAGGAAGGCACCTCGGTGTCCCTGGGGTTTACCTAACTTTAAGTATCCCCATGCCACCACCGCGCCTTTGCCCACCTGACCGGGCTTTATCCGTTCCGTGTCTTTTCCAGACGCAGCAAACTGATCAACAAGGTTGTGGACGCCGTGGTCAGCATCCTGAAAAACAGCGTGTCCTTCCTGGTGCAGAAGGAAGTGAGTCCCCCACTCCTTGGGGCCCAGAGCCAGGCCTGGTGGGGAGCAGGTGTGGCATTTGCAGGCCTGGCTGTGTTCTCTGGGCACTTTTCCTCCAGAGGCGAAAACTCCCCTTCGGGAGGCCCACCGGCACCTGCTCCTCCGTCACCCAGCCTGGTGGCCGGGGTGGGGAGCGGGGGCCTGACATCGGCTGAAGTCCCCGGGTCCCCGCACTGGAGCCATTTGCCATATCCATGCATTACCAATATGCTTTCGTAGCTAACATTTTCTTTCAGTCAACACAATTTTACTTAAATTTATTTAAATGCATTTATTTTGAAAGAGGAAACTTTATATCCCTGTCAAAAAATAGAAAACTAATACTACATATCATAACTAATTGACAAAGTAAACAGACCTATAAAATATTTTTTTTTCGTCTGTGCATCATCCAAAACCATATGGACCATGTGTAGGATTCCTGGACCCAAAGTTCTGGAGATTTTAAATTAATCATTCAGGAAGGAGGCCCAGGAATGTGGTTTATAAAGGAAAAATCCTCCAGGCAGCTGTGTCCCTCGCTGATCCCAAGCTTGGGCTCCATGTGCAGTCGTGTGGCCAGCTGCAGCCTTCGCTGGACACTTGTTAGAAATGCAGAGTCCCAGGCCTGACCCAGACCTGCTGAGCCAGAATCTGCAGGGAAACTTCTAAAAGTATGGGAATGTTAACACTCTAGATTCTAGATCATTGGGGTTCTAGAATTGTAATGCTCTAAAGTTTTAAGAGTCTAGCATCCTAGGGTTCTCAGATTTTAGACTGCTAGAATTCCATTGTTCTATGAATAAAATCCTAAGGTCCGAAGGTTCTAAGATCTCTAGAAATGAGCATCTCTGTGGGTGGCCGGTGCTTTGTTCCCAGCTGAGAATGATCTATCCTTCCTCCTCCTCCCGGCCCTGCTCTCCCACCCCTCCCTGGCTCTCAGGTGTGCCCATTGATCCACATCTTGGTCCCTGGCCTGGATGCGAAGATTTTTCAGGACATCATCGGTAAGGCACAGTCTGGGCAGGTGGGGCTTTCCAAAGGCAGGCATGCGGCTGTGCCCGCCCCATAGCAGTTCAGGTCTGGGGACCCTGGAGAAGCAGAAGGACCACTGTTCTGAGCAAGCTGGGAGCTGTGGCTACTCCCCAGGCACTCGGGGGCTCTCTCTGGCCTTTAGGTCTCCAGATGTGACTGGGACTGCTGCGACAGTAGAAATGGGGTATGTGAAGTGTCGAGACCCTGGAGGTGGCCCTTCTATGAAAATAGCCACGAGTCCAGTCCCTAGGCAATCACTCCGTGCTCTGCCTACGCTCCCTTGCTAGGTCCTTGCAACAACCTTGCAGGGTGGGTACTGCCATATCCCCATTTTACGGATGACTAAAGAGAGGTGAAGTGACATGCCTGAGGTCCCACAGTTGTCAGACTGACCCGCTAGAGAGTGACAGCTATTGGGGTCTGATCTCTATTCAGTTTCCAGGGGCAGAGGCTGAGGCCTGCTATTGATTTTGTTCCTTCAGCTAAACCTGAGGTGGGAAGCCTCCTGCAATCCCAGATCTGAAGAGGACGGATGAGGAGGATCGCTGTGTGCCCGCCTGCTGGTGAGGGACTTGTGGTGAAGCAAAAGCCAGGCCTGGCTTCTCTTCTTTGTGCAGCAGCAGACCGAGCCCTCGTCCCAGTCATAGACTGAGGCCTGGCCCTGACCCCGGGCTATGCCCTGATTCTGGTCACATTCTGAACACTGAGTGCCTTGATTACACACCCAGACCGAGCTCTGACCCTGGCCCCAGGCTGAGCCCAGCTCCTAGCCACCGACTGAGTTTTGATGATGGCTATTATCTGAGCCCTGATCCTGATCTCAGACTGATCCATATTCAGATCATATACTGAGCCCTGACCCTGGCTCGACCAGTCTGTCCACATCTGCCCTCGTTCTGAAGGAGGGCAAGTGAGACTGGGTCAGTGCCAGGTGCCCGAGAAAGACCCCGAAGCATAGGTGCCTCTCCCCTCACCAGGCCTTATTGCAGGAAAGACCTGGGACAGTGGAGACAGGTCAGCTTGGGTCCCATCAAGTGTCCGTAAGGGCAGCATTGCTGCAATGTCCTAATACTCTGGTCTTATTCCAGATCAGCTGCCAGTGGCTTGGCCTCACTCCTTTGTAGCATCTCCCTCCGGGATGGTGCTGCCACTTCCAACCGGAGTGAAAGCCTGAGCCCAGCCAGAAGGACCTTCCAGACATCTCTTCTCCTCAGTCAGGACAGTGGCCGCTATACCTGTTACCCTGCCCCAGCAATAAAAGCCCATTTCTGCACCGTCCTCTGTGGTCCGTTGCACTCCTTCTGCTGGGATCTGTTGGCAGGAACAGCGGGGCGGGGGGCTGCACTTGGGACGAGAGAGACCTGGATCCAGAGCTAGAAGGGACATTGGGAATAAAATACCCAGTCCCACCTCCTTGTTTTACAAATGAGGACACCGAGTCACAGAGAGGGCAGGAAACTGGTCCGAGTCACACAGCCAGTCTATGGCAGTAACAGAACCTCCAATTCATCCGTTCACACAGCCAACAGGGGTTTAGTGAGCACCTACTCTGCGCCAGGCAGGCAGTGGCAATGGGATAGTCACATTCTGGGGACGACCCCACCTAGTGCCTTCTTCCATTCCTCTCCAGGCCCCTGAGGACTTGTGGAGGATCAGGGAACACCTGGCCCAACTGGACCCAGGAGTACAGAGCAGAGTAACACTGGATCAGAGGCCTGCAACCCCATCTCTGCCTGCACCACCGCCCTCTGAACAGCCAGGGGTTTCACTGGAGCCAATTCTCCAGGTGGCGCTGAGAGCACCCATGGTCTCCATTCCCCAGGGCTCACCCGACCCTGCTACCGCCAGCCCTGAGAGCCTGTGCGCCCACTTGCCAGGCAGCATGGAGGCCTGGCCTCCCTGGTAAGGCCAAGGACCCTGCAATGCTCACCCGTCTCACAGAGACCAGCTCCTGCCTCCACCCGAGGCCCCTCCCTCCATGCCCCAGAGCCCAGCTCGCCCAGGCTGTGTCAGGCCGTGGAGGGAACAGCATCACACTGCTCATGATCACAGCCACCGTCACCAAGGGTTGCCTTTGTGCCGACACGTGGGACCTCATTAAATCCTCACCGCACCCCTGTACCAGGAGACTCCATTGTCGTCCCCATTTGACAGAGGAGGACACTGAGGCTCAGAGAGGCAAAGTGACCCATCCAGGTCACATAGTGAGCAAGTGGCAGAGCCAGGCTTTGAACCCATGGCTGTGGGGCCCCTGGACTTAGCACACTGGCTCAGAGAGGTGACGTCCCCAGGCACTGTGGCGGCCTCTCTCGCCAGCCCCCAGCAAGGCCTGCTTTCCTGGCCCGGGACATGTTCTCCCCCATGTGCTGCCCCTCAGTTCTCGCTTTGCCCTGGAGGAGGATGCTGCCCCTTCCCCACAGTCGCACTGGCCTCAGGAGAGGGCCGCGTGGGCCGCACGCTAATGCATGCCGTCGCCTCGTGAGCCCGGCAGCCTCTCCTTTCCCGGAGGGACTCTGACCCCTGGAGCCTTTGCCTGTTCTGCCAAGCAGCCAGCTCGTTACTCCGCACAACTCTAGCATGCAGGGACTGCTCCCGTTCCCACGGGAACTCAGGTTTGGAGGGGCCAAAGCCACCCAGAGGCCGGCACCCAGCTTTAATTCACCCAAGGGCCTCCTCTCTAATGAAGGCAGCCTCATGGGGTCAGGTCACCTCAGGGGTCCCCTGAGCCCTTGTGGTGGCCTGGAGGGGCCTAGGACCAGTGGCCTGAACCCTCTCCCGAGCTCCCCTGCTGCGGACCTGAGTTCAGGTCGCGACTGTGAGTTGCTTGGCCCAGGGTGAGACCAAGGAGTTGGGCAGATCTGAGCTTGATTCGCTTTCTAGCAGTGTGATCTTGGGCAAGTTACTGAACCTCTCGGAACCACAGTTTTCTCCCCTGTCACACGGAATTAACAGTAAAACCTCCCTCCCTGGGCTTTGGAAGGATTAAATCAGTCAATGAGTGGAAAGTGTTTAACCAGGGCCTGCCACGAGTGAGCAGTGAGGCTCTAGGCGCTGAAATCACTGATACGACTGCCGTGCTCCTGTTAGCTAATTGGTCAAAGAACTGATGTGGCAGGAGGAGTCGCGGCCCGGGGAGATCTTGGGTTTCTACTTTGCCTCTATGAGGTGGGACTGCTAACTTCCACCTGAGGACATAAGTGACGGGCTATGGACCAACCTGTGGCTCCCAGGGGCCTGAAGCCAGGACATGGAGGGGGTAGGGCTGAGGCCACCTGGCCCCGCTGGTGACCGATGTGGGCATTGAGGGCAGAAAGGGGACAGTGAGGAGAAGTAAGGGAGTGTTCTCCCTCTGTGGGCTGGCACCTCTAGGACCAGCTCTGGCCACACCTCAAAGTTGGGGGTGAGGGCTTCCTGGAGGTGGTGACATCCCATGAAGGGACGGGGAAGAGGAGAACGCTTTGAGGGGGTGAGGAATGAGGAGGCATCTGCCATAAAGGGATATATGGGAAGAACAAAGGCAAAACCTGAGTGGACGTTGAGTCATCCTGAAATTAGAGCACCCAACCCCAGTGTGGGCTCTTTTGAAAGCTTAATCTAGTTAAATAAATGCTGCCCGTCCGTGCGGATCTTTCCAAAGTTTGCACACTTTATTCAGGATAACATCTCAGGATCTATGCCTTGGAGCATTTTATGACCCTGGGAACACATCACAAAATTATTTAACAAACCAGATCTTTCTGTTTACACTACGATGAGAGCGTGTACCTATCTCACTGTATCTTTGCTAGCAGACGGATACTTTAAAAAAAATATTTGCTCTTTGAATGGGAGTAGAATAAATTTTATCTCAGTGAAAAAGCCAAATTAGGGGAGTCAATGATGATGTCAACTCAATAGACTATTTTCTGAAGATTTTTTTAAAAATTAGGAAATACTTGTAGTTTCCAGCGGGGTGAAAATACAGATCTAAGAATTTGCTTAGCTGGAATCACAATGATGTAAAAAAATGAAACTGGGGGATAAAAACCCCGAAAGGGGTGCCAACATTTGACAACGGTTTGTTTGTTAGGGATGACTCATTTCCGTGTTAGCGTTTGTGCAAGACATAAAATGCATTTTTTAAAAATAGGAAGGTTATTGAATATCTCTCTGAGCCAGGCCCTGTGCTGGGCATTTCAGGGGTGACTTAAGCAGTAGCTCCCCAACCTCAGCATGCAGGGACTGCCTTGGAACATTTTATGACCCCAGGAACACATCGCACAATTATCTACCCAACTGATCTTTCTATTTGCACTATGATAAGAGAGTGTACATATCTCACTGTATCTTTGCCTGCTGGGTGGGTGGATACTTTTGTTTTAAATATTTACTATTTGAATGGGAGTAGAATGAATTCCATTAGGGTGAAAAAGCCAAAGTTCCCAAATTACTGCCACATACGTGTTGCAAGGGCTTGGGGGAGTAAGGGGACGAGAGGGCAGGGTTTGTTCCCTCCATCACGAAGGCACGCAGCCTCCTGGGAGAGCTGGTTTTATGAAGAGACAATACAGTGTTGAGAAAAAGAACTCAGAGGAGGGGCTGCTGTCCCCTCCTGGAATTGAGGAGCAATCAGGGATGGCTTCCTGGAGAAGGTGCCCACTGAGAGAGAAGGGAGGGAGGGCTTTCCAAGGAGAAGTGACAAAATGAGCGAAAGCTGGGAGGTGGGCATCAGCCCTCGAGACTGCTGGATCAAGGTCAAATGAAGGTCAAGTGGACGGCAGGGCCTTGAACACCATGCCACGCTGGGGCAGTTTAAATGCGATTCTTTAAGACAGCCGTTCTCAGATGTCTTTGGTCTTAGCACACTCACAAACTGAGGACCTCAAAGCTTTTGTCTATGTGGATTCCATTTATTGATATCCGTCATAAAAGGAATTAACACTGAGAAGTTTTTACAATATGGATA